TTTCGCCTTTTACTAAAGATTTCCGTGGAGAGGAACACAATGAGTTAAGCTAATTTTTTGATGGTCTGTTTAATTGCAAGGCTTCACAATCAGGTTTAAATATCAGATTAATGACAGCGGTTTTGTGTTAGATAGTTTTTTTTTTTGTGAGTGTATGTAGTTTTCTGCGCACAGTTTTGATGTAATCGTAGCAGTAAATTAATGGCTTGACATCTTTTCAGAAAGTATGAACTGTAAGCGTGGAGTGTGCCTGTATGCAAGAAGAAAGCCTGTTTCGTCCGTATTTTATTTTGCTCTTTTTATCCCAACTCAACATAGAAACGACAAGTTATGCTATGTTTTCAACAGTGTCTGTCAAAATAGGCTCATCACTTTGTTTTAGTGTTTGTGTTAGCTTCTGTGAAGAGAACATTTCCTTTGTATTCACTAATGAAATAGTGCTCTCTTTTGGTCAGTTGTAGGCCTATCTGCAAGTACCCATCTGTGTCTTTTAATCAGGAATCGTGGTCTTATTTATTTTGACCTAAATTCCTATTTAAAAACAAAAAGAGAAGCCCGAATAGATTGATGTATTATATTATACAACATGTTCTAAGTACAAAAAATATTGAACAGAGGTCTTGTCAGTCTCCAACCGTTCTTGTGAAATGTGTTCCTGTCGCTCAAGTACGTACTAGCGCTGTTCACAAGCTAGTACACTCATGTTTCTCTTCATAGCGTATAAATCTTTCGCCTTTTACTAAAGATTTCCGTGGGGAGGAGCACAATGAATATAAACTAATTTTTTGATGCTCTGCTAAATTGCGGGGCTTCTGAGTTGGGTTAAAGCACAGGAAATTATTTGTTGTATGAGTATTGTTATGGATTAGAATTATTATTATTTTTTGTAAAATTGTGTTGTTTTCGTAAGTAATGTTTGAATGTAGTTGTAACAGTAGTTAATCGCTTGGGTATGACTGTACATCAGAGTAGTTGTATTTTGGCGGATAGCCGTTCGTTCTATTTTTTAACCTGAGAAACGCAAAAGACCGATTGGATTGATGTATTATATTATACCAAAATGTTCTAAGTATCCAGTCGTACAACAAATAACCAAATGTTGAACAGATGTCGTCTGTCAGTTTGTGAAAAGTCTTCCTGACGCTCATGTTGCCGTAGGCTACTAGCGCAATATAATACACTCATGCTTCTCTTCATATCGTATACATTTTTCGTCTTTTACTAAAGAGTTCTGTGGAGAGGAACACTATAGTTTAATTCTTTGGTGTCCTACTTGAAGGGGTCATCTGATGTGATTAAAATTTTTCCTTTCTCTTTGGAGTGTTACAAGCTCTTGGTGCATAAAGAAGATCTGTAAAGTTGCAAAGACTAAAGTCCCAAATCCAAAGAGATATTCTTTATAAAAGTTAAGAGTCAACCACACCTACCTAAAACAGCTCGTTCTAACACGCCCCCACATGTCTACCTCACTATCTGGGAAGATTTGCATAACGCCCCCCAAATGTTCACGCAAAGAAAGAAAGAAGGCTAACTTTTATTCTCGCTGTAGTATTGTTGCCGCCGCCATGTCGTGAAGTGCTGTGTGTTTCGTTGTGAAAGCGAAACTACTTTGTTTGGTCTTCCAAAAGAGGATGATATCCGCTTCGTCATGCCTGGAGCTGATCCGTGCTGGTTGCTGAGGAAATACATCAACTTCACGCTGTAGTTCGCCGGATCGGCTTTCACCGTGGACGTAGCGGAGTCCAGCCCGGGGTCGTCACATGTGGTTGCCGCAAGCCTCATTTGTCGAATCCGCCGGCCGCACCGTTATCAAGCCCGCCCGCCTCTGCTCACGCAGCCCGCCGGCCGTTCCTCACTGTAGGCCACCGTGTGTGACGCTGTGTTTCGTTGTGAAAGTGAAACTACTTTGTTTGGTCTTCCAAAAATGGACACGACTAGAAATCAGTGGTTAAGTTGTATTTACAACACTGTTCAAGAACAGTTCAACCTAAATATTCAGATGTGTGCACCGGTATTTTATAATGGGTTTTCATGTTTTTGTCTCGTTGCTCTGGCCGGACAGGGCATCATCACAATATGGTGAGGGTCGTCACATGCTCGAGGAATTAAGCCAATCATAACGCACTGGATAGCCGGCCAATCACAGCACACCTCGCTTTTCAGACAGATGAGCTTTGTAAAAATCGATGCGTTTCAGAAAGGCGGGGCATAGAGGAGAAACAATAATGTACTGTCGAATCCGCCGGCCGCACCGTTATCAAGCCCGCCCGCCTCTGCTCACGCAGCCCGCCGGCCGTTCCTCACTGTAGGCCACCGTGTGTGACGCTGTGTTTCGTTGTGAAAGTGAAACTACTTTGTTTGGTCTTCCAAAAAAGGACGATATCTGCTTCAGAGGAGAAACAATAATGTACAGTATGTGGAAAATAATGTTTTTTTTTAACCTTAAACCGCATAAACACATTTCATTACACCAAATACACAAAATAATGTTATTTTTTGCAACATCATATGACCCCTTTAATTGCGGGGGTTCTAAAACCGGTTTAATTGTTTAATTTTCTTCTTGTTTATTGCACATAATTGACCTCATACGTCATCCGCCCGGAACTGCTTCCAGTGTACAACAGTGAGCGCAAGCTACATTAAAGTGATTATTACATTTTGAATATGGATATTTTTCTTACAAAAATGCATTGATTTGCTACAGAAGGCCTTTGTTCACCCCCCAGAGCCGTGACCATTCAAAGACCATTTTTAATATAACTCCGACTGAATTCGTCTGAAAGAAGAAAGTCATATACACCTAGAAGGACTTGAGGGTGAGTAATTTATGGGCTAATTTTAATTTTTGGGTGAACTAACCCTTTAAGTCTTAGTTCTTTGTTAATTGTGCAACTATTATGACTTTGTTTTTGCCATAGTCCTGCTGCTGACATGGCATTAAAAACAAAAAACATTTTTATTTTTATAGAAAACAGGATGTTTTTTTTTTTTTTGATATGCGTATTTCTTATATTTTATAATTGTTATTTAAAAGTTAAGCATTAAAATCATTTTTAAATGGTTCCATTTTCTAAACAAACTCCTAGCTTCTTGAAGGAGGACCGGATGGGGCTTATGGAGTTTGACCCTTTACCCGTAAGCGTCACATTTACTACATGATCTTTGTTCTCTGGCCTCTGTCCTCCAGATAACCAGCACAGAAGCACAGAACAGGTAACAAAAGAAAATCAGCAAATGTCTTTAAAACTGTCTTGATTGACAATAATGATTGTGTCTGAATAATGTGAACAAATCAAAATTACCGACATGAATGCATGTCTTTTGCATTTACACTGTTATGAATGGTGCATGCAGCAAATTGACCTTTTCCTGCACGTGTGCTTATTTAACAAAAATGTAGATGTTTGACAACTATTAAAATAAATTGACTTTAACTTTACTGCAGCTGCTTATGACCTACTCTCATTTTGTGCTTTTGATAGTAACAAAAGTCCACTTTGAGTTCACTGCACTATCACAGAATGAGCACTTTCTCATTTAATTTGTAATCAGCATCAAATGGGGATATTTCTGTAGTCCCATATTTCCTAGTCCTTCTGTGTTGTCCACATCTGTATGTTGTCATCTCACACAGATCCTGTAATATTTCTGTTTTCTCCTCAGTCTAAAAGATGGTGGTTTTGTCCAAAGAGTACGGCTATGTGGCTCTAACCGGAGCGGCATCGTTTCTCCTGATGGCTCATCTGTCTCATGCTGTGGTGAAGGCTCGGATTAAATACAATGTCCAGGTAACTTAACATACACTAATCACTGCACATGCACTCATAATTTAACAGTGAGTTCCAAAGTTTTAGTTCAAGGCCCCAAAATTCAGACAATTCACACACAGCTTTCCTTTTCAAAAAATTGTAAGTTTTGCTATCCTAACCATACACAATTATACGTTCAGTTGCGATTGATTGTTTGCATTAGCATTTATTCCTATCACCATGTCTGGTTGAGAACAACTTTTTTAGAGTACTTCAAAGATTTTGCTTAATGGTCTCATTAGTTTAATTAGTTTGCCCTAAACCAAGAAGAAAGTATTTATTTTACTTTATAGTATCCGACAATGTACAGTGATGATACAGAGACTGGTAACAAATTCAACTGTATCCAGCGAGCGCATCAGAACACGTATGTACAGCATGCATCACATATACAGGAAATATGTGTGTATTCACAGCAAATCTTATATTACTGCTAAATATTAAAGTTTCCTTTGCAATAAATATCAGCTTACTGAATGTTTTACATTTTATAGAGAAGTGAATGTTGTGGTCCTTATTCATTTGCCGATGATTTATTGATTTTCACATCTGTGATTATTATTGTAAAACAGCGTTGAACTCTTGTCGCCATTCCTGTTTCATTTATCTGTGGGAGGGATTCAGCATCCAGTGAGTACAGATTCAAGCTTTATTAACCCTTACCTGGAGGTGCACTATAAATATGCATGCATGCAAGCTAACGCAAACTGTGAAGTGAACTGTTTGTTGTGGTTGTGCTTCTCAGCGTCTGGCCAGCGTGTTGGGAATGATCTGGATCGTCAGTCGGGTGCTGTACGCTCATGGATACTCTTCCGGAAGTGAGTCTCTTTGCACTTCTACCGTACTGATCTGTGTATATTAAAGACAAGTAAACTGACAGTATGAATACAGATCAAAACAGCTAGTGAAATGTGTTTCTGTGTTGTGTTCTGTCCTGTTAGAGCCCAAGAAGCGCCACCGTGGGTCGTTCGGTATGGTTGCTTTGCTGGGTCTGTTTCTTTGCACGGTGAACACTGGGAGAACGCTGCTCGGATGCAACTGTGGGTTGAAATGGGTCAAATGGCCCAAATAATATAAACAGTGAAAACTATGTTTACTATTCTAATTCTACATTCTATGAAGATGACAAGATAAAAAAACACCTTTATTTTCTCTGTTGTGCAAATTTAGAAAAACACTAGAGGCTCATTTCTCACTGTAAGAATCCAGTGTGTTCATTTGTGTTTTAAATAAACGGCACAGAAATGACAAAGTTCAGTTCAGTTTTCCCTCATAAATTGCATAGAAATGACATTATTTGAAAAATGCATATTATAACAACCAAGTGCATGAAGATTTACCACATCAGTGTTATTTTAGTATTGAGGTGTTTTCTGTTTTCATTTTAATTTTGGTTAAAGTTTTAGTAATTTTGTTGTCTTGTAATTTTTTTAATTGTTTTTAGTACACTGTAAAAAATGATTGTGATTTTAACAGTAAAAGACTGTAAAAATGCTACAGTAAAAACCTATTAACTGGTTAACAGTAAGTTTCCATACTATAGTCGCTGAATAAATGTAATTACATTTAATGTAATTTTACAGTAAAATACTGTTAAAAATACGGTTTTTAACAGTATTTATAAACCGCTGCGTAATATCATTGCGTCTGCTGCACCCATGGTACGGCAGCAAAGCTACCGCCAGACCCGGAGATCGGCTGAATGGATTCGAAAACGGTAAAACTCAACTGTTTAACTCTAGGGGAGTTGGAAAATGAGCCTATTTTCAAAAATAGTGGAGAATTCCTTTAAGGCTAGAAGGGATAGGTATGGCGCTACTGGGCATGCGCACATCAATACAGCCTAATTTTGTCACACTGTACAACAATAATTACTATTTTTTTCATTATTGTAATGGGTAGGTTTAGGGTTGGGGTAGGTGTAGACGTTAATAAAACACAATCTAATAGGGAGAAAATTAGCTGTATCCCTTCTTTCCTGAGGAGGGAGCGGCCATTAAACGAGATTCACCACATTTCCCATAAGCCATCTGTTGTGCCGGAAGTGGCGTAAATATAGTGGCTCCTGGATTTAAACTGAAATGGGCACTGATCCCATGAATAGAGGATTTTAGACATATAATAACTCCTTTAATGACCATTTTTATGAGAGGACATGCGTTCGTGAGGTTTCTTTGAAATGACCGGCCTCATAGAGTTTCTCACGCGTGTGTTTTGAAGCGTTATTTCAGTCGTTTGTTTCCTAAAGCTGAAACACTCCTCTGCATTATATCAGGTGTCGCTTCGCGATCCGTTTACCTGTCGCTGTAACCTCACCTGTCATCATTCCCGCTGGCTCTATGTGTCTGCATAACGCAGGCTGGGGTTAGGCTCGTACTTTAATCGAGAAGTTGATTATCAGCCGCTCAGGATGAACTGGGATCAACAGTTGAGCTCCATCATCTCCGAGGCTGATGGAAGTGTCGCAAAAATGAGAGTAAGAGACTATTTCATCACTAATAATTTTCTGTTTACTCACGCATGTTATTCTGGACCTGCGTGACTGACTTTCTTTTGTAGTAAGTTTTAATTTACCTCAGTTATTCATATTTTATCTTACAAGGAACGCCTTACTGCGCATGGAAGATCTCCCAGAGTAACAGAAGGTAAACTCATTTTTAAATGATTATTAAGTCCATTAATGGAGCATAAATAATAAATGTTGGCAGATGGGGAATGTTCTGTGTTAATGTTTTCTGTTCCTAATCTGGAAATAAAAGAGATTTTTTTAAAATCCCTTCCAGACCTGAAGAAGTCTTGGAAGTTAGTACAAGTCTTACAAACTTTTATTGACAAAATGTTAAAATACTAGGTTGCATATTCTATTTGGGATGAGTGTTAGTTTAGTTTTTATTATTAACACTTTAAAATAAGCTTTTTATATTTTAAGTTAAGTAATTTAGCTGTAAAAATGTTATTTTGTCATTTAAATTTTTTTGTTACTATTTAGGTTTAAATTATGTTTATTTCGGTTCCTGTTTTAGTTTTTATTTATGGTAATTCATTTTATTGTTTCAGGCTAAACTTATTTCAGTTTTACAACCCCAGTTCCAGAGAAGTTGGGACGTTTTGTAAAAATGCAATAAAATCAAGAATCTGTGATTTGTTCATTCTCTTTAACTTTTATTTAATTGACAAAAGTACAAAGAAAAGATTTCCAAAGTTTTCACTGACCAACGTAAATGCATTTTGTAAATATGAACAAATTTAGATTTTGATGTCTACAACACACTCCAAAAAAGTTGGGACAGAGGCAGGTTTAACACTGCGTCACATCAACTTTCCTTTTAATTACAATATTTCATTGTTTGGGAATTAAGGGTACTAATTGTTAAAGTTTTTCAAGCAAAATTTTTGTCCAGTCTCTCTTGAAACAAGGCTTCAGATGCTCAGCAGTCTGTGATTGTCGTTGTCTGACATTTTTTTGTTACTATTTAGGTTTAAATTACGTTTATTTCGGTTCCTGTTTTAGTTTTTATTTATGGTAATTCATTTTATTGTTTCAGGCTAAACTTTCAGTTTTACAACCCCAGTTCCAGAGAAGTTGGGACGTTTTGTAAAAATGCAATAAAATCAAGAATCTGTGATTTGTTCATTCTCTTTAACTTTTATTTAATTGACAAAAGTACAAATAAAAGATTTCCAAAGTTTTCACTGACCAACGTAAATGCATTTTGTAAATATGAACAAATTTAGATTTTGATGTCTACAACACACTCCAAAAAAGTTGGGACAGAGGCAGGTTTAACACTGCGTCACATCAACTTTCCTTTTAATTACAATATTTCATTGTTTGGGAATTAAGGGTACTAATTGTTAAAGTTTTTCAAGCAAAATTTTTGTCCAGTCTCTCTTGAAACAAGGCTTCAGATGCTCAGCAGTCTGTGATTGTCGTTGTCTGATTCTCCTTCCCATGTCTGCTCATACATTTTCAATAGGAGTCAGATCTGGACTGCAGGCTGGCCAGTCTAACACATTCACTCTGAGTCTACGGAACCACGCTGTTGTAGCACATGCAGAATGAGTGCTGGCATTGTCTTGATCTAATAACCATGCACTTCCCATGAAAGACATCATCTTGACGGCAGTATATTTCTCTGTACAACTCCAATATATGCCTCCATGTCAATGGTACCTTCACACATATGCAAGTCACCCATGCTGTTTGCACTGATGCACTCGTATAACATGACAGATGTTCGCTTTTGCATCTGTCACTGATGAAAGTCTGGATGGTCCCTTTGGTCTTTGGGACAGAGAACTCGAAATCCACTTTTCCCAGAAACAAGTTGAAATGTGGACTCATCTGAGTACAGCACACATTTCCACTGTCTTTTTGACTATCAGAGATGAGTTCTGGCCCAGAGAACCCGGCGGCATCGCTGCATAGAATTGATGTATAGCTTTCTCCTCGAGTAACAGAGTTTCAAGTTGCATTTCTTGATGCAGCAGCAGACTGTGTTAAGTGACAGCAGTTTTCTGAAGTAGTCCTGAGCCCATGTGGCTATATTTAACACCGCAGCATGACGGTTTCTTATGCAATGCCACCTGAGGGCTCAAAGGTCATGCACATTTAACTGAGGGTTCCTGCCTTGCCCTACATGTACTGTGATTTCTCTGGATTCACTGAATCTTTTCACAATATTACGTGTGGTAGTTGGTGAAAGACTTAAAGTCTTTGCAATTTTGCATTGTGAAATGTGATTTTTTTGACACTTCTCTCATGAAATTTGGCACAAAGTGATGAGCCATGATCCAGCTTTGCTTGCAAAGTCTGAGATGCTCCTTTTATACCCAAACATGATACCTTGACCTATTACCAATTCACCTGCTTACTGTGAACTGTTTCAAAACAGTTTAAAGTGGATGTTCTATAACCTTTTCACTTTTATTTTGCCTCGGTCCCAACTTTTTTGGAATGCGTTGCAGCCATCAAAATCAAAATTTGTTCATATTTACAAAATACATTTATGTTGGTCAGTGAAAACTTTGGAAATCTTTTCTTTGTACTTTTGTCAATTAAATAAAAGTTAAAGAGAATGAACAAATCACAGATTCTTGATTTTATTGCATTTTTACAAAACGTCCCAACTTCTCTGGAATTGGGGTTGTAATTTCCATTTAGTGTAAGTTATTCCGTCTAATGTTTATATTTGATTTTATTCATCTGATTTCACGTGGCCGTGTGTTTCTCTCTGTAGATGTGTTTCCGGTCAGAGAGGTCACAGCCGGTGTTGATCTGAAGTTGTCTACGGTTCAGTGGTCAGATCTGACCACCATCCAAACACAATTACAGCAGCAGAGTCAGGTCAGACTAACACCTGCTCAAATCACATGTTAATGTCCAGTTCTGGTGAACAACCAAGATAGTGTGCTATTAATATGTGTATATGGATCACGTAATACATTGGTAGGGCCCTTTGAAATGTTATATTTTTTCCTAAATTACGTTTAATTTTTTTCTGGATTCTGTGTTGTTGTTGTTTTGGGGGGGGTGGGGGTTCAGTAAAATTTTTCTGGATTCCGTTTTAATGGTTAAAATAAAATTTTATGTCAGTTGAAAAAGGTGCAGCACTCACTCTTGAAGAGATCAAAACTTTATTAATTAAAATAACAATTTTGTAATCAAAAGGAATGTCTAATCATTTGAAATATTTTTAAATGTAACAACAATTGATCAAAAGATTGACAAAAAGTAAATTACTTTTAATTAGGGCCCTAGGAAATCCCTCATATTTTTTTTGCCAAATTCTGTGGTTTCCATTTAAAATTTTTCTGGATTTAGTTTTCATTGTTTCATTAAATGTTATTCAAAAGTGTCTAATCAGTTGAATTCATAAAACCTTAGCAATTTAATCATTTAGTAAAATTTTTACAATATTAGGGCACTTTTATTTTTTCAGACATTTTCTATTAGAATTTTCCTTGATTTATGATTAATACAACTTTATTATCAAAAACGGTGGTTATCAAATGAAGCCATGAAACATGAACTGATTTAATTAATTAATTGATTAAAATCAAAATATAATCAAATGAAAATTTAACAGTTCTTTTTAATTTTTGGCAAACAAAGTGCTCCACAACAGAGTACAATTTTACTGTTAACATTGCATGATAATCCTTAAAAAATATTGATTTATGATTAATTGTACAGCCCTATTTTTAATGTATTCATCCAAAATTTGCCAGTTACCGCAACATTCCTTGTTATAAAGTAAATTCCATTTTTATGACTAGATTTATGATTCCATATGTTTTCTACATCCTGAAAATCATAGGGACTTACATGTGAGTTTTATTTATCTGTATTTAGTACTGTCATTGTAAATGGGGGCAGAATGTATCTGTTTACCTTTTTGTTTTGGAGATTTATATTTAATATAATAAAATGAATTCAACAACGGATCATTCTAGAATAACAAACCAGTTTTAAATGTTGTTTTTGTCACAGGCCATTGAGACTTTAACACAGAGTCTTCGATTACTGGAAAGAGAACGAAACACTCAGCAAAGACAAATGCAAACATTACAAGGTGATCATCAATCAGTTTCAATGTATTTCATTATACTACAATTTTATTGCAATTAACACTTCTTTCCTATAAATAAGTAAATAGACTATTTCTGTTGTTACTGAGGTCATATTTACTCCAGAATCTCTGTCTTCCAGAGGAGCAGAAGAGACTTCAGGATAAACTGGAGGAGAGAGAGCGGGATGCGGGGCGGAGATCACTGAGTCCTGGACCGGACCGACGGATCGAGCAGTGGAAGAGAGAGATGGATCGAGAGCTGAGCAGTCTGAGAGGTCAGATCAACAGCGCCACGACTCTAGGAAACCAGGAAGAAAGGTCTGTTTTATTTTTTTTATTATTGGTTTAGTTACTGATAATAACCCCATTTGGGATTTTAGAGTAGAGTAGAGTAGAGTAGAGTAGAGTAGAGTAGAGGAGAGTAGAGTAGAGGAGAGGAGAGGAGAGGAGAGGCTTTGGGAAACTGCCAAGAAAGGTAATTCTTCAGAGATGTATAATGTATTTATATGCAATATTTATATTGTGTACCTCAAGACAAGAAAGGAACTGACCAAATTAAAAGTTGCTTAATATCACCTTAAGAGCCACGATTTTCTAATTTTATATCAATATCATCATAAAAATCATAGTAAGTATTCATTCTATTGCTCCGGAACACATAAATAAGGTATGATTTAAGTGTGCTAGTGTTCCACTAGTGTAAAAGAAGCAGTTTAACAGCAGTGTAGCAGTGTACATGTAGTAGTTGAAAATCACAGCTATTTACTCTTTATAACTATGTTTGTCCATCCACAGTTTCAGCTCTAAACTGCGCAGAGAAGAACTGGAGCAGCTCAGGAGAGAGGTGGACATTCTCAAAAACAAACTCAGTAGGTCATAAACTAGTTACTTTTCATGTTTCTCCACCTGAGTGTATTCGATGTATACACTGTAGTGTTACACGCATAAATCAAACTCTTTCAGTGTTGTGTTATTACAGTCAGGGCTCTCTGAATAATGTCAAAATAAACACACGCACAGCCGATCTGCTGCTTTCACTGTCACGCAAATAAACATCCCGCTCAGATACTGCCTGTGTTTGTGTTGGCTTCACATTCACAACGCCTGCAATATTGATAGGCATTCAGACTCTGGTTACATTTACACCGTGTTCATGAATGTTAAAAAAGAAAACTGGTTTGTGTTTCTGTAGTGCGGCAGGAGGAAGATACGTTCCAGCTCCAGTCAGAGGCCAGAGAAACAAGGAGACAGTATGAACGCAGCTCTAAGGTAAAGAAATGACACGCACTATCGCTCAAAAGGTCAGGATGAAAGCAGTTAATAATGTCGTTTAACAAGCATGCATTCAATTGATCAAAAGTGACATTATAATGTCACAGAACATTTCTGTTTCAAATACATGCTGTTCTTTTGAAGCCTGATAAATTCAGCTTTGCATCACAGGAATACATTTTAAAATCTATTCAAATAGAAAACACTTATTTTAAATTGTAATAATATTTCACAATATTACTGTATTGCTGTTTTGGTGAACATAAGGGACGTACTTCAAAAACATCACAAAATCCCCCAAACCTTTGCCTTTTCTCATCCTTTACATTATTAATCTTGCCAGAGCAAGTGCACTTTGTGTCAAAATAAACACACGCACAGCCGATCTGCTGCTTTCACTGTCACGCAAATAAACATCCCGCTCAGATACTGCCTGTGTTTGTGTTGGCTTCACATTCACAACGCCTGCAATATTGATAGGCATTCAGACTCTGGTTACATTTACACCGTGTTCATGAATGTTAAAAAAGCAAACTGGTTTGTGTTTCTGTAGTGCGGCAGGAGGAAGATACGTTCCAGCTCCAGTCAGAGGCCAGAGAAACAAGGAGACATTATGAACACAGCTCTAAGGTAAAGAAATGACACGCACTATCGCTCAAAAGGTCAGGATGAAAGCAGTTAATAATGTCGTTTAACAAGCATGCATTCAATTGATCAAAAGTGACATTATAATGTCACAGAACATTTCTGTTTCAAATACATGCTGTTCTTTTGAAGCCTGATAAATTCAGCTTTGCATCACAGGAATACATTTTAAAATCTATTCAAATAGAAAACACTTATTTTAAATTGTAATAATATTTCACAATATTACTGTATTGCTGTTTTGGTGAACATAAGGGACGTACTTCAAAAACATTACAAAATCCCCCAAACCTTTGCCTTTTCTCATCCTTTACATTATTAATCTTGAAGGGGTGTTTTTGGTACTGTACTTTTAACATGCATTTAAAATGACTTCAGTTATGATCGGCTAATGTTTCCAAACACACAGGTCATGGTGCTGAATATATGCTTTTCACATAAGAGTTTATGTTCTGCAGGAGATGTTTTTGCCGTGTAGTTTCAGCAAATAGCTTGTTCAGTGTGCTGTTTTGGTTCAGGTCACACTCAGGTGTGATATTTTTATTCTGCAGACTTTGGAGAGTTTTACAGATTCGTACCGAACACACAGTTTTGATCTCGCTCGGATGGTGTCACAGTACCAGCACACTCAACAGGAAGTGCGTGACCTCAGGTGAGTGCGTCCACACAGTGGCACAAAACAACCGATGGAAAAACAGTGAGCACGTTTACATGCACACCAGTAAGCTGATAACTCACAAATATCAGCTTATTAAAATAACCAGTTTTCCCCGTTTACATGCACATCAGTAACCTGACAACGCAAGTAAGCTGCGTTTACATGACTTCATTAATAAATCAGGTTATTTCCCTGTAGTGACGTCAAAATATAATCATTTGCGTATCTGACTCCGAGTATTCCATACATTTCTCAGTTGTGATGTTAAATTAAGCTTGCAACATGTCGGGAAGCTTACAGCTCATATATTATCCTCTCATGCCGTTATAAACGCAGCATTGTGACTGAACCACTTCTACTTCTGCTGCACGAGATGAGAACACATTTTTATCATTTTCGGAGTAGTGAAAAAGTCTGCTTTTGTGATATATTTCCTTCTTTCTTTACTGCAAGACGTTTGCTCGGTCTAGATGTGCTTAAATCTGCACTAACGATGTGTTCCTGTCACGTATCACACATGCGCACTTCAATAAGCCGACAGAAAGCAGGTTATTGCGTTTACATGCCGTGCGAAATCGGAGTAAGAGGCAATAAACGCCGTTTATGACCATACTCCAATAAAAGAAAACGGGTTACCGCGTTTACAGGACCAAGTGTGTTTTCGGCTTATTAAGCATAATCGACTTAAGAACGTGCATGTAAGTGTTATTTTTAATATCGCTGATAAACTATACTATTATTGGCAAATATTTGAATTTTATTTCACATTTATTAATTTGAGATTTTCTGTTTTTAATCATTTAAAGTTTTTGTGCTCTTCGGTTTTATTAGTTTGAATGTGTCTGTTTAGATTTTGTTACAATGTTTTATTTAGTTTTTGTTGTTTTAGCACTAAACTCGAAAAACGAGAAATTCTGCTTTGGCAAATAAATATTTAGTAAATAAGTAGAGTAAATAAATATTTTATTATGTTTTAGTTGAGAAAATTTTTTTTTTTGAAATAATAGTAATAATCGTATTATTTAAAATAATGCAGAACATGTGTTTTGAATATGATAATGCAACACAATGTCCAGACAGTCCAAAAGATGGTTTGTGTGCATTTTAAATATATTCAAAGTCAGTATTTGGAGCATGTTTACATAAATGTTTATTTTTGTTTTTAGAATTGTTGAATCAGTCACAGTTACGTGTATTAAAGTAAATTGCCAATTTTGATTTCATCCCAATAATTGTAGCATTTCATAACTCATGTTTCCAGTGTTGTGAGCCAAATTTCAAAAAGTGACATCATTTAGTGTGTATCTTTACTATACTATGAATGAATGATTAACGGGTGCACATAAGGTTTTCAGTCTGGTTGTCATGAGAGCACCTGGAGTTTTGCTCACACTGCACATAGTGCGACCCATTAAATATAAGCATAAAAAATCAAATAATTAATAATAGTATTATTGCACTTTATTTAGTTATTTTTTAATGAAAAGGTTTTTAATGCTTTTAGTTTTTGTTAATGCTAGTAGTCTTGACTAAAGGAGGGCGCTTTATTTTCTGTGTGTGTTTTAGAGTCACCGTCTCAGAGCTGAAGGACGAGGTGCGAGGTCTGGTCCTGAGAGAAACCCTCCCCACAGCTGCACCGCTACCACAGAAACCAGGTGAGACGCAGCTGTGAAAGGGTCTGATCATGCTTCTCTTGTTTTCCCCTTCAAAGCCTTTTCTAACGTTAGTCGTTTAGCCTCTCTGTGACCTGTAGAATCAAACCAGCTGTTTTTGGCTGCTGAGCCTGTAAGATTTCTGCACAGTTATCCTCCTTTCATGTTTCTCTCACTCCTGTGTGGTAGCAGTGGTAACCGTGAAGACGAGGCCCCAGAGACGCGTGTCGTCAGGGTCGGAGGATGATTTCAGTCCCACCCCCAGTCTGGGTGAGATCAGCTCAGATGAGTTGGATGCATCATGGCTGGAAGAACCAGGTGACACATGCACGCATGCATAAGCACACCTGACACTGACACCAGATATACGTGCACTGAAGAGTGAATCTCATGCATAGATTATTTTGACTGTAAAATCTAAATAAAAAATTAGTTAGCAGACTTTTTTTCAGATCTGCATGTAAACGAAATTACATATATATACTGTGTGTATATATATATATATATATATATATATATATATATATACATACATGTTTTATTTAACATGTATTGATAAATAATATTGTAAAATTATATACATATTTTTTTATTTGATTTAAAATGCTAAAATATTTTTTAAATTAAATTGTCTAAAAATAAAAGCTAAAATGTATGTCCTCATTTAGAGTGCCAAGTAAAGCATTTTTCTTCAGAAGTGAAAAGGGAGAAATTATTTGATGAAATGTGGATGGATTTGAGGTTATGAGGTTCATATTCGAGGCTCCATCAGTGTGACTGACAGAGAATTTGAGTTAAATGAGCATGACTGATGTCTTCAAAACCACTGACAGCATTCAGCTCAGGAGAAATGAACAGAAACCAGTGCAATCAAATGTTTGTGTCATTGATATACTATTGTAGATTTTTGTTAATAATTTGAACTAGATTTAATTTTTGTATTTTGTTTTCATTTTAATTTCAATGAAGATTTTAATACTTGTTTCTTTTGTTGTAAATATCTATATATCTCTAAATAGTTTTTTTTATTAAAAATTGTAATTAGTTTTAGAAATAAAAATCATATATATATGTGTGTGTGTATATAAGTAAAAAAAAAACTATTTTATTTCAAGGAGTATTTTAAAATATTATATTAAATAAGTAATATTTAATGTTTTAATTAACATTAATAACCCTAATAAGAGGAGGGTACTTTTACTTAAATAATATTTATTCTCCTCCTTTTTTTTTTAGTATGTTTGGATAACCCACCCTAGTGGTACACACTAACAATTACCCATTTTTCTCATTGATTTTAGAGCCACAAACCAGGAGGAGGCGCCGGCGTGTCCGTTTAAGTTCAGACCTTACAGGAAGTGACCTCAGCGACGATGGAAGTGGGCTTGATAGTAACCTTGGCAATGATGCTGAAGGTGTGGACAGAGTTTCAGACAGTCCTCCAGATCTCAGTCTCAGTGACCTCTGACCTTAAAGGCCAGTAAATCTATGTGCTGCTATTAGAGGAAATGGAAACCTCGGTCTTACGTTGATTCAAGTAAGTAGTTTACTTGTGTCATGAAGGCCCGGACTGTGCTATTTATGCTATAATTGATCAATACGTTCATGTAAAATCAAGACCATGGACACAGAGGTTTTGCAGTATTTTATGACTGACACACATTATTCACAGAGTCTTTATAGGCTTCACAAGTATTGCACTGACATACTCTGAGGTATCAGCTACTAAATGTAAGTTGCAAAAAGAGTGTTTTCAATATGAACATGCAACACGTAACATCCATTTAGTCAAAAACAGTTTGACTCTGGCTTGTGTAGATGTTGTAAATGTATTTACAGGCAGTATTTGGAGCATGTTTGTCACAGTAAAGCCAGAAATATGTATTAAGAAAGTAAATAGTCAATTTTGATTTCATGTTGACTTCAGATTTTTGAAGAAAAAAAAGAGTCACTTTTTTTCCATTTAAAATAAGTCTCAATAATTGTAGCATCTCATAACCTGCGCGTCCAGTGTTAAAAAAGTGACAATTTAGTGCATTTTAAAGACTTTTATTAATTAAAAAAAGAACATTGTGTAATAAGAAACACTTTAAATGCACTCTCACAAGTTATTACACGAAGTAAACATCACACATCCATCAGCCATCACACCACAAGGATGAAAATACTGTATTATTGACTTTTTTTATCAATCAATAAAATGTTAAATGTTGAGTCTATAAATGTTGAGTTTTTATAAAACATTTTAGGCACAAGAAAAGCATTAAAATTGTCTATTTATTAACTAAAGGTCTGTTTTTTACCATCTTTGTCAAAGTGCTCACAAATTGATTTTTTTCTTAAAACATTAGGTTGAAAACAGTTGAATTTTGCAACCATCATGAGCCAAGAGCCAGTTGCATTTTCAGCGCTGTTGTTTTGTCTATTTGATGACATTCCAAATGATGTAAACAATTCCACATTTTCACTTGAAGTGAATTGAACGTCTGTATGGCTGACAAAAATGGTATTTCTCAGGGGTGGAAACATCCTTGGGAACTAAGCAGAGAAAGAAGTGAAATGAACATTGGGAAATCATTACTGATGCTGTTTGTACAGTATCAAAGGAATTTTCCAGATTTAATACAGGTTAAACTGTATAATTCGGTCTCCAAATTTGTAAAAACAAGCAAAAAGTAGTTTACAGTAATACACTTGGGAAGACTCTCCTTGTGTGTGTCGTGCAAAAGTTACAGGGTTTAGCAGCTGTACAGGAGTTAGAAAACTGAATGTAACTTCACACAGACAAGGTTAGTAGACTATTATATACTAGTGCCATGTAAGTCACGTGGCTGTACTGTTGAAACCGAAATGCATTTTATTGTTTATTCAGGTACCCCACAGAAGTGCATTACTGTAAACATGATTGTTGCTGACTTGAGAGATTAAAATGATTTTGTGTGATGATCGAAAACTTCTACTGAACGTTGAGCATATCCTTCAAAGAGTAGTTCTCCCCAAAAATTTAAATTTGCTGAAAATTTACTCGCCCTCTGGCCATCTAAGATGTAGATTTGTTTGTTTCTTCATTGGAACAGATTTGTAGAAATGCAGCATTTCATCTCTTGCTCACCAATGGATGCTCTGCAGTGAATGGGTGCCGTCAGAATGAGACTCCAAACAGCTGATAAAAACATCACAAGTAATCCACACCACTCCAGTCCATCAGTTAACATCTTGTGAAGCCAAAAGCTGCATGTTTTTAAGAAACAAATCCAGTTTGTATAAAAGTGTTTAAACTTGCTTCAGGTCATAATAGGAGTCCATAATCCATAATAATGTTTCCTCCAGTAAAAAATGTCCATCCTCTGTTGTCCTCTCAAAATCCACCAACATATTTATTTAAATCTGTTTTGGACTGTTTTTACTTGTAAACGGTGCTTGATCGAAGCAGATTTCTCTCCTGATTCAGACGAGATGACTTTCACACTAGAGAATGTGGAAGCATTATTATAGATAGAGGACTCTTATTTTAGCCAGAAGCAACATGTAAAAAAATCTTAATGATGGATTTGTTTCTTAAAAACATGCCGTTTTTGGCTTCACAACATGTTAACTGATGATTACTTGTGGATTATTGTGATGTTTTTATCAGCTGTTTGGACTCTCATTCTGACGGCACCCATTCACTGCAGAGCATCCATTGCTGAGCAAGTGAAGTAATGCTAGATTTCTTCAAATCTGTTCCCATGAAGAAATAAACTCATCTACACCTTGGGTGGCCTGAGGGTGAGTAGATCTTTCAGCACATTTTCTCTTTAGAGTGAATTATTCTTTTAACAAATAACAAGAAGCTGATCAGAAAAAACAAAGCAGCAGGTTAATTCTAGAATTAGACCATGTAACACAAACACACACACAGCTGAAGCAGATCCAGAGACGACACGACAATCAGAGAAACAAATACAGTCAAAAACAGCTCCCAAATATCCCCGCAGCACACAACCCTTCCCAAACCCCACATAAAGTGCAAGAAAACAACCCAACGAACAGGAACTGACGGCCACGGTGAATTTAACAACTAAAGTGGAGTATGACGCTATATTTAGTCCTGTAACAGAAACAACAGGAGTGTTTGTGCCTCTGTGAAGCTCATTTAATTGTGCCTGTGTTGTGTTGATCAGCGGATGTTGGGCACATCTGGGTTTTCAGTAGCTGTACATGGAGAGAGGCGCGTCCTCCAGCATATCATCCTGAAACACACACACGTCACTGAGCTGTTTGCAGGAAACACTGTCATCTGTGAGCGACACTGTATGTGCATCAATGCCTAATTACTGATACATACAGGTTTAGTGTAAATACTTATTTTTTTTAATGCTTGTTTAATTTATCACTATTAAGCTTTAGTGAGTTACATGGAATTACATTTTTTTTTTACTTTTTTATTGTTAAAATACCAATGTGTCAAAATAAAATGTCATATTTCCCCCCGAATATATGTATAAATTATATACTCTATATATTAGATCATAAGGGAGTGATATCATAGTTGCCCCCCCCCCCACAAATTAAAACATAACACTAATAACATTGCAATAAACATACATTGAGTTATACAGAATGTAAAAAAATCACCTGCAATTTTTCAAATGTTTAATGTTTAATTTATCGCCATTAAGCTTTAGTGAATTACATTTATATTTAGTCATTTAGCAGACGCTTTTATCCAAAGCGACTTACAAATGAGGAATGGAAGCAATCAAAATCAACAAAAGAGCAATGATATGCAAATGCTATAACAAGTCTCAGTTAGCCTAATGCAGTACACGTAGCAAATTTTTTTTTTATTATATAATAAATAAAAAGAAAACCGATAGAATAGAAAAAGAATAGAGCAAGCTAGTGTTAGAGGCTTTTTTTGCTTTTGTTAATTGTATACTAAATGAAAAGAAAACAAATAGATAGAATACAAAAAGATTAGAAAAGCTAGTGTTTTTTTTTTTAAGAAATCAAGCAGTAAATGAATAGAGTGTAAGTCTAAAAGGGACAAGTTTTTTTTTTAAAGAATAGAATTAGAATTGAGAGTGCTAGAGTTAGAGGGTCAAAAAAAGATGGAAGAAATGTGTTTTTAGCCGATTCTTGAAGATGGCTAAGGACTCGGATTGAGTTGGGCAGGTCATTCCACCAGGAAGTAACATTTAATTTAAAAGTCCATGAAAGTGATTTTGTGCCTCTTTGGGATGGCACAATAAAGCGATGTTCACTTGCAGAACCCAAGCTTCTAGAGGGCACATACGTCTGAAGTAATGAATTTAGGTAAAGGGGTGCAGAGCCAGTGGTGGTTTTGTAGGCAAACATTAATGCCTTGAATTTTATGCGATCAGCTATTGGTAGCCAGTGCAAATTGATGAACAGATGTGTGATGTGCATTCTTTTTGGCTCATTAAAAATGAATCTTGCTGCCGCGTTCTGAACAAGGAGTTGTGAAGCATGTTCTGAAAGAAAGGGCCTGATCTTCTTGATGTTGAATAAAGCAATCTGCAGGACCAGGCAGTTTTAGCAATGTGGTCTGAGAAAGTAAGCTGATCATCAATCATAACTTCAAGGTTTCTGACTGTTTTTGAAGTTATGGTTGATGTGCCTAACTGGATGGTGAAATTGTGATGAAACGATGG